CCCCAAAACCCCAAAACCCCAAAACCCCTTGACTCAATGAATTTCAAAGATTCCAAAATCTAAAATTAAAGTAATATACAATTTAAAGGATAGAAAATAAAGGCATGAAGCTTGTATGTACAAATGTTCTCTTATTCACATTAGCAGGCTGCATTTATGAAGTTTTCATTTCAAATATCAAGAGATTTCAGAGAGTTAGTCATTAAATCTTACAACTATCTAAATCAGTACTTTTACCCTTTCAGATGAATAATGATAGACAAAGAAATTTCATGCTATGATATATAAAATATAGAATGCATACTAAAAATACCAGAAAATCATAATGATCTAATTAAATAGTAAGAAGGAGTTGATTAATTAATTGCATATGATTACAAAGAAGGCAAAATTATCTTCATTTCTTATTAAAAAAACGACATTAGATTTTTGTACGATATAAAACTATTTCCAAAGAATACTGATTATCAGCTCAATAAAATATTGATTACAAACAGAGGGCAATAATAATTAATTATGCTTCTGGCAATTAGAGATGGTGAGTCGAGTATTTCATTCATGATGAAATAAAATAACAATCAAAGATTTGAATTTATTAAGCGAATTCAACTAAGAAATGTATGCTGCTACATTACAACAACCTGGTTAGGATTGAAACAAATGGATTATGAGTACTTTATGATTATGACAGGAAATCAGATGATAGTTTATGAGACTAAGATACCAGAGTATGATTATATTAATGAATTGATGAATTACAGTTATACTCAAGTGCTTTACAATCTTGCTTAGACTGTTGAGATTCAATATGAAAAGCATAGAACTTAAAATGTGACTTATATAGCTCAAACCTCCGTTTAGTCAATGATTTTAAAATTATATAAACTCGAAAAGTTATAAACTATGGGTCAAATCAAATTTAAATGCACACCTTAGATAGAAATAAAAATTGGCATTGTAGGCAATCATACCTTAATGGCAATTCCAAATATGCCTGAAGTAGTTCTAATTGTTGGTGATATTTAGCAAATTAAGATGCAAATAGATAGAAATGAACTCAGCAATTATGACCAAGGTATAAAGTCTGTTAATATAAAAACAGGTGAAATTAGAAAAGAGAAAATACATAAGAGAATAAAGGAAATCAATTAGATATACTTGTATGAAAATTTTATGAATAATAACTATGTATCCCAGATCTTATGGTCAACTCGCTATGTATAAAACAAAGGGTTTTAAGTCGCTACTTTTCATCTAGATAAGGAATTAATAAATGAAGACTCAATAAGATCTGATTTAAATTTCTATCAAAAGCCTAGTAAAGTTTAAGATAAGCACAGATATAGAGGGATATTTGGCTACTTAAAGCAAATTCAAGTAAATAAAGATACATTGATAGTAATTGAAGATGAGAAAAACAATAATAGACTCAAAATTTTAAGATTAAAATTTGAATGACATAAATTAATCTTAAATGTTTTACTATTAAATTTATTTTGTATTACAGATTATTTGATTTTGATTTTAGATATGCACTTATGGGGTTTTGGGGTTTTGGGG